TATTAGTACTTTCGTTATTAGTACTATAACTAAGTAATTACTACCTACGTAGTAAGTAACTATACAATAACTAACTTACTACTACTATGTGTATATATATATATATATATATATATATATATATATATAGATCAGGTTTTTTTCTAAATTGTCATTAAGAAATTTGGTGTACTTTTCAGAGGTAGTGTCACGAGCTTCATCTAGTTCTGGAATTTTGGAAAATACAGTTTATACTGTTACTGCAAGTTTTCATCATGTATGAAAAACATTTAACATATTCATAATGAGTTATCTCTGTCTTGAAAATAGTTTTTATTATTTTTATTTAGGCGTGGACCTTTGCATTACCTTAGTGACCGTTTTTTCTGGCTTGGTGAAAATGAAGGTGCACTAATCAGTGACTTGAATGGTCAGAATTTAGCCAAACTTGAAATACAGGAGTTGAAAACAATTTGGACATTAGCTGTGATTAATGGGTCAAAGAAATCAATACCAGGTAAGAAAATACTTAGAATATACTGTTACTGTTTCTAACTTTTATTTTATTTTCATTTCAATTTATACAAAAGTTCTTATTTTGGCACACTAAATTTTGTATATGTTTACAATGTGTATTCTGATATAGCTAGATAACTGTCATGTCACACACATTTTTTGTAGATAACTTGTATTTTAATTAAGCTAACTGCTTGTCTTATCATGTTAATATTTGATTAGTTTGTATTGTGGCTAAACTAAATTATCTGCCATGTCATACAAATTCTTATACAGATTTTTTAGTATGTATTCTGGTTAAATTCATTAACACACAGTTTAAAATGTGTGTGTGTTAACATTTTTTATTTCATTATCTCTCGAATTCTGATAACATTTGTAAAATAATATGTATCAAAAATGTAAGTAATACATAGTTACTTTCTTTTACAACAACAACAAAAAATTGAACCATCCATATTGCAAAAAATAATCAATACAGAAAAAATCAATTGTTGGGGCTTGTTAGAAGTGATGTGGAAACTATTAGTTTTTGTTGGAGGTTAAAAGCTTGATACTTGATCTCATTGGAGGTACTTTCTGTTTGTTTATTTTAGGCGTCAAACATCCCCAAAAACTTAATGTTAGCCCAGACCAGATTAAAGCAACAGATATTGGTATCACTGGGACTTGGGATGACTTCAGGATCTTTTGGCCAGCTACTGTGCATGTAAACTTTGGACAGGTCTTCTATAACCTGATTATAAACAGTGGACAAGAAACCATTGCAGTTGTAAGTTTTAAAAAAAATATATATATAATAGATTCCATATCTGTAATATTACTTCAAATAAATTAATGCTTCAATCATGTTAAACATACTGGAAAACAATATCCTTTTCAAAAATATCTTTATTATGATTGTAGAATTTTGATTACTAATCTTCTTTTTCAATGTAAAATAGTGTCAGTGTGATAGAATTTTATCATCTACTATAGTGATAATTGTTTTTATTGTTTTTCTGCCTCACAGGACACACAACAAAACTTCTTTAAACCTACTAAACAATTTGCACCATATACACAATTAAATATTGCTGTTCGTGCTTATACCTATTGGGCTTCATCTAAACAGACTGTTGTTTCTCTGAATACACCAATGGCAGGTGAGTAGAGTTTTTGCATCTTTTACAACATCTATTTGAATTTTGTTTATAAATTTGTATTCTTTAACAAGCTACTTCAAGTCTTTTGAATTCCTACTTGCAGTTAAATACTTAATTATTATTTATATTTTCATGCCCTGCATCTAGTTGCCTCATCTCTAACAAACCACTGGGTACAACATCTTATCTTGTATTTATAATTTTATGCCCTTTATTAATTTCATCCAAATTTATAGAAGCTTCATGTACATCTGTGTAACTGTTATGTATCAATCTAAATATATTATCACATCCTTTATCTAGCTCCTTCAGCTCCTGAAAATCCTCGTGTATACATCTCTCACCATTCTTCTCCTCTCAAAAATGAAAATGAAATTTTCATTGAAGCAGAGTTTCGCTGGTCACCTCCTGCTAGCAAGAATGGTGCTATTGAAGAGTATAACATCAGTTGTTGGTTTATGCAGGATGGTCTTAGTTTGGCTGTGTGCAACAGAGTTTTTGTTCCAAGCACCCAGCATCATTATCGACTAACGGGACTCTTACCAGATACTTTGTATTTTTTCCAGGTAACACTTTCTAGTCTTCTAAAATCATTACAACTTGAAGCTTTAAAAGCTGATGAGTGAACTCTGATGCCAGGGCTGTCTAATTCAAAATAAAATATTTTCATATTACTTAAAAGTATGTGCTTCTTAGTAAACATGTTTGGTTCAGTCCTCAAATTTAGTGTTGGCATACAGCAAAGTTGTTGGAAAAACTGACATTTTATGATAAATATCAAATACAACGTAAAAAAAAACTTATAAAATGTTTTCCATTTAATTTTGGGCCTGGCATGGCCTGGTGTTTAGGATGCTCAACTCACAATCTGCAGGTCATGGGTTTGAATACCCCTCACTGAACATTCTTGCCTTTTCAGTTGTGGGAGTGTTATAATGTGACGGGTCAGTCCTACTATTCATTGATAAAAGAGTAGACCAAGAGTTAGTAGTGGGTGATGTTGACTAGCTGCCTTCCCTCTAGTCTATCACTCCTAAATTAGTGATGGCTAGTACAGATAGCTCTCATGTAACTTTGCATGAAATTCAAAATAAACAAACCAAATTATGTAATTTTTCTGTGTATATTAATAAAGATTAATATTTTATAGAAAAACAAGAGGAAATCCTCAATAGACTTGGCACTTGAAATTCTTTTAGGCAGGATTAGAGTAATTAATCTATGAGACCGTTGTTTCGTTTTTATTAGCTATATTTTCATGCACCACCAACACCACGCATGGGGTGTGCGTATACCTGATTCGATTTTATTACTCATCAGGATCTATACCACCCTACCCTCAAATTGAAATTCTTTTAGTCAGGATTAGAATAGATTACTCTACGAGACCTTGGACATGGTCAAATACATCAATTGAAAGTGTTTGACCTCCCGAGTCCAAAACTGTAATTAGATCTCAAATCAGTCAAGAGATGACTGGGCTATGAGCTGAAAGTTTGTATTTGAAAAAAAACTCCAGCCATTCTGTGAGCTGCTATGCCATGGTTAATAAAACTATTGATAAGTGAGTAGAACATTTAATAATACAAATACTTTACCTAACTTGAGATGCCAGTTATTATGACTGAATTTAGTGAATTGCTGTAACAGGTAATCTAAGAAGCCAGGCATCTGATTTTGTTACATACATGTGCATTGCTTGAGTAAAGGCCCCCCCCCAAATATATATATATATAAGTAAGTAACATTACAAATTTAGTTTCCACTTTTATGTTCTAATGTGCATTTTAATATTTCCTGCAACCACTGAAAATATTAATAATTCTTTGTTCAGTAGCTTTTACACTGTATTAGTTTAATTGATATAACATTTTTTTTATTAATCTGTTAATGTGATTCAAATCCAGAACTGTCATGCACTCTTGTCAAATCATTTTTAGTTTTGTTTTGGATTATTGTGAGTTTGTGTTTGAAGATCTAGTAAATCTTGTTACTTTAAATATACAATAGTTTGACATATTTTGATATTACATCATCCAGAGCAAACAGAAGAGAAGTTTGTTTTACATTATTTGAAGATTAGAGAATATTAATGTTTGAAAATAAATTTGTTAGAAGTCTTTTACTTGACTTTGCTAGCATTAAACAATGCAACTGTTTTTTTTCATTAGTATCATTTGATTTTCACTTTCTGTAAAAGTTGAATATCATATGGACAGAACATGGCAAAGTTTAGGCCTCAAGTTTAACTTGGAAAGCTGTCTATAATTTTATGCTTTCACCAAAAGTAGTTAATCAGTATAAAAGCCGAATGCAAGTTTTTAATTTTTTTATCTTGGTGAGGATGCTTGCCTTCTACCCCACTTGTGTATTGTGTACATGTTTAAGTGGAAGAATATTTCTAGAGTGAACAACAGCATTTTATTTTGTGTTGTCTTAATTAACTCACAGTGAAATTTTTTGCTGTGGACGTGATATCCTGATTTTGAGGACTGCTGGTTTGTTTATTTGTTACATGATTTTGTAATTTAAACATTAGTGCCATATTTCTGTAACAAATTGAGTTTCATATTTTATTTATATGACTAATAAAATTTTTCAATTTGCATCTATAAATATGTAATAGCCTGAAAACATTGTGTTTTTAATGCTAGGGTAAGTATTATAATAATAATCAGTAAGAAAATGTTGATTAATGTTCTTATTGACATCCATTTAATTGGTAGTTGAAAAATGTGCTAATTTCTGTCCTCTTTGGTATCTAGTAGAACATTTGTATTGTGAAAAGATTTATTGTTTTAACAGTGTATTTGATTGCATGAAATGTTGATTTGCCCCATTATGACCAGGTCAGTGCCAGGACATCAGTAGGTGAAGGACCACCTTGTACAGCTGTTGAAGGAAATACTTCAAAAGAAAACCCAGTGCCACATTTATTGTTAGCAGAGGAAGATGCTATGAAAATATCAGACATTGACAGAAAAGAAGAGCGTATTCTTTCAAACAAAGTTTCTCAACCTGTTGATGCAGTATACTTGGGACAGGAGCATGCGATCTATTGGTTAGAAGAAAATGGGGCTCTGATGTCTTCTAGTATGAATGGCACAAATACTAGACTGGTAAGGTTTTAAGTTATATACATAAGTAATATGAAGTATTAGAATATTTAATATAATGTCTGTTGGTAGTTAGATGCAACATTCAACCTTTCAGTAGAGAACAGTGGTTAATACATGCATTTTAGGGTTGGTTTGGTATATTACATGTATAAATGCTATGTGAAACCAATATGGTTTCACGGCTTCTAGCTCTGTGTCATTAAAATTAATGCATAATATAGGTAAGATATAACATGTATTGAAATAATTACATCATCTTTCTTAACCGTTGCTCTTCATAATTTCAATATTTAAATGTTGGTATTAACAAAATTTTGTTTATTTATATAAATGTACCTCAAATGTTATACTTAAGTAGGCCTAGCTTAGTCCCAAGATTATATACTGAATATCACTTTATAAAAAGTAATTTTTAAGTAATTGGAGCATTATATGCACTGAATATTTTGCACCCTGAAAAACATTATATGCAAAGCTTCTTCATTTTTGTTGTAGATTCGCAATTTACCACCAGGTGGTACAAGCATGGTGCTAGATTGGGTTGGTCGGTATCTGTTTTGGTCAGAAAGTTCCTTGAATGAACACCAAACTACAATCTGGACAATGGATTTTAGTCGTTACAGTGATCCATATCCTCTGGTCACAAAGTCTGCTGTGATTGGTGGAATGGAAGTGGATCCGCTTTCTAGGTAAAAGATGTTTTCGCAGTTCATTTAAGTAATTATATTAAACTATTCGACTGTGTAATTGCACTGTTACTTTACATTTTTAAAGCTTAAGAGTCACTAACTTGTAATTGTGTGAAACAAGTTAACTGAATGATAAACCATTATAAATGTGCTAATACCATAAACAGAAATTATCTGAATGTGTGGATCCACTTTCTAGGTAAAAGATGTTGTCACAGTTCATTTAAGTAATTATATTAAACTATTCGACTGTGTAATTGCACTGTTACTTTATATTTTTAAAGCTTAAGAGTCACTAACTTGTAATTGTGTGAAACAAGTTAACTGAATGATAAACCATTATAAATGTGCTAATACCATAAACGGAAATTATCTGAATGTGTGTTTTCATTGGTGAATCATTGTATATATACTCGTCTGTTTGTGTGTAACCATGACTGTTTCATGGTCAATAATGTATGAATTGCACAAAAAGAATTATAAAAATATACCAACAATATTGCAATGAAGCCCAGTAATTACTGGGATAGTGTTTTATGTAATTTACACAGAAAAGACTGTTTAGTTTAAATATTATTGATTATTTTATTTTTGTGAGTGAATATTTTATAATTGTTTAGTTTTTGTTATAATAAGAGTTAAAAGCAGATGATTGTAGGAAGTTTTGTTAATAATTCATTGATGTTGAGACTATCGAATGTCACGTACAATACATTGATGTCAAGAATATAGAAGGTGGGCAGACAATTAAGTAGTAAAGTGTGAGAAAAGCAAAAGCAGCAGACAGATAATGGCAAAAAAAAGTAAACTTACAGGGCAAGGAAAAGTTCAGTGTGAAATTAACTACCGTAAAAATGATAGGCCTAATGTTTTCTACTGTTAGTCTTACTCTAACATATTGTACCAGTCATTACAGAGTATGATGATTATGAGTCACGAACAAGTTTAAGATTTTTATTCATTTCTGATCTGAAAGAAAAAACAAAGAGATAAAATAATATTAGTAACACACAACACAATAATGCATTTAAAGTACTGTTTGTCTATCAAAAGCAAAAGATTGTCCTTGAACTATTTAGTAATGGGGTTCAAATGTCACTCAAAATATTCAAGTCTGAACTGATCACTATATAGATAATGGATGACCTAATCATGTATAAGCTAATGGTCTGTCTTTAATGTCAAATATTCAACTATTTCATGCATGGCAATTTGATTTATGAAACTCAATTGTTTCTATTTTTTTTATTCATGTCAAATGTTAAATTTAAGTTTGCCAGTTGTCAATTAAAGTCTTATACTTATATAATAAGTATAAATATTTAATGTGTTGTTGTTGTTGGGCTAAGGATTCTTCTGCAGCAGATGTCTGTGACTTGGTGATAAATTCAACAATAAATGAACAGTACACAATCCACTTGTTATTAAAATAATATATATACATTCAGAACTAGTTTAACATATGTACAACAAATTCTTTACACTATAGAGATCATAGGGATATCAAACACTATATGGTTCTCTTCTTCTTGTCAGAAGTTCACTTAAGCCTATTCAATTACTTTAGAATTTCAGTTAACAAGCCAAACTATCTTTCCCTACTTCTATTGCACTAGTATTCTGTGTATAATTTACTTACAATTTTGGTGTGAGTTATCACAGTCGTATAATGCTCTACTAGTAACCATTTGGTTTTCTTTCTCAAAAATATCCTCTGTTCCTTTTGTCAAAGTACACTCAGGCTGATTCAGTTACTTTAGAACCACACTTTGACAGAATAAATTATTATTCTTATCTCCTTTTACATGACAGATTTAATTATTCAGAACAATAATTGTTTTAATATAATATTTAAATGTCGGTATGTGCTATTGTACAAGAAAATTTACAAACTAAACATTGAGATATAAAGGTTATGTTGGCCCATAAGAATTCCAGTTCTTAGAAAAGCTCTTTGTTAGGTGGAATTTATGCTTACAGTGGTAAACTGAAAAAAAATGTGTAAAAGCAATGTAATACAACTGTGTGAGAAAACTACAAGATATGCAATATCATTAATCAGGACAACAATATGAGAGTGGTCTTAGTAATAATATTAGCATGAATTTTTGCTTAACTTGTCCAGCAGCCAATCAGGTACAAGTCCTCTAGGCCAGTTGAAATATGTTCACTATATATTATTTGGTTTTAATTGTTTTGTTTTGAGTTTACTTACAAATTATAAGTATTTCATTTATTTTAAATTACAGCTTTTATAGTAAGGAAAAATATGGTTAATAAGGTTACGACATATAGATCACTAGTGCGATCATTCTTTATACTTGAAAACGATTGTACCAGTGATCAAAACGTTGCATCCTGTTTTAAAAAATATTTTTCCTTATTGTAAAAGCTATAATTTGTAATAAGAAAATGCTTATTTGGTTTTGAGTATAGCTCTGGCCAAAATACAAGGCTTTATTACTTTATTATTAAACTGGACTTGAGAAAAGCTGAAGAATACTTAAGGGGCTGTAGATGATGATGAATTCATTAGTGCTTTGTACAGTAGCATGCAGTCACTTAGAATTTTTTAATAGCTTGTTTAATAGTTTTTATGCTAATTGCCTACAAGAACACCCACAGAATATTTACTGTGGAAGATGCAAATTATGCATGAAAGGAGGTAGAAAACATAACATTTTTAATTGCATTTCATTATGTGTTATTGCTAGAATGTCCTTTAAAACTCTTATTCCATTTTCTCGATAATGTAATAAAACATTAATTATTTAATCTTGGATGGAGTTCACGATTTATTAAAATCAGTAAAAATAGAACAGAACTTTTATTCTGTTGTTAGTAATGGAAAGTAAAACACAATGTTGAGTTTGGAGCAATTAATAATATTGTGGTGCCATACCTTAACATGCACCATACTGAGGCAGCACTGCAGGAATAACATTAGATGTGGTCTATGTGAAGGAAGTTTAGCAGGTGTCTGAGATTAGGGCAGTCACATAGATTGATGGATGCTGTTGTGGAGATTCTCCATGTCACTGAAAAATGCTTGCTGCATGATCTATCCATGCTGGGGACGGTGACCAAAATGTTTACCATGGTTAATAGTGCAGGAAGCTTTATGTATTACCTTCATCCCATCTGACATGTTCAGGAGTTAAAAATGCACAACTATGAATCTCTAAAAGCATTTGCATTGGAGTTCATAGCACTTGTTGCAGTTAATGAAGTCTGGCTATGATACATTTTATGGATAGATGATGCTCATTTTACAGTTCATAGTCACTTGCATGTCCATAATTGTGTTGTCTGAGTCATTAAAAGTCCACAGTAGAATAATCTTTGCATTCCCCATGGGTTACTGTGTAATGCAGCTTCATGGCAGACTTTACCCTTAGGCTATTCTTTTGAGAACTAACATCCCAGTGCTTGGCAATGCACAACGGCTGGACAATGTTTTCATGAGGTCTTATACACTTATCTATACCAACTTACAGTTGCTTGGATTTATCCAGTATGTTGCATTCAGTTGTGACAGTATCATACCCCTAAACACAACCTGATAGACATTTCTCACACATACTTTTGGTGAGGATTCGGCTCTTAGCTACCACTTTCATAATACCTGGTAAATTTTGAGTGAATCTTTATATCTCAGAAATAGTGTTGATTTTTTTTCCTGATTGTATACACCTTTTAATCTTTCAGTAGCCATCATAATACAAGACTTGTTGATTATTGTGTACATAATACTACTAACTTTGTTCTTTTGATTTGGATGTGCAATTGAAATTTTTTTTCTCTGTTTTCTTTAGAAATTGCAGAATTTCAGAAAATAGTAGATGGTTTCATACAAATTGTTGACAATTTGGAGAAGGAAGTTGAAAAAGCAAAAGTGAAGGTAAAACTTGTAATTCAGTGGTGTATATCACTAGAACTGAGAATTGTGTTGAATTGCAAGGAAACAGATGTGATGAAACTTCACAAAAAATTAATTATAATTTAAGTTTTGCCATAATTAGCTTGCTCAATGTATATTTCAAGTAAATAATAGTAACTTCTATTATTTGGGAAACAAATTCAACGGAATGTCAAAGCTGGAAAAGCATGAATCCTTTTGGGGTAATAGACATGCTTAAAATCACATCAAGACTGATAATTTAAATGTTTCAACTGGAACTTTTGGTGTTTAATCCAGTGAAGCTGACGAGGTCTGGGCCCCAGCATGGCCAGGTGGTTAGGGCGCTTGACTCGCAATCTGCAGGTCGTGGGTTCGAATCCCTGTCACACTAAACATGCTCGCCCTTAAGCCGTGGGGGCATTATTATGTGATGGTCAATCCCACTGTTCGTTGGTAAAAGAGTAGCCCAAGAGTTGGCGGTGGGTGGTGATGACTAGCTGCCTTCCCTCTAGTCTTACACTGCTAAATTTGGGATGGCTAGCGCAGATAGTCCTCGTGTAGCTTTGCACGAAATTCAAACAAACATAGATGAGGTCTGGTACAGAGCAGAAGGCCTTGTACATCAGAATAAGATATTTGAAGTTTGGAATCTTTGGATGAAAATGTGAACTTGATCAGTTATGTCTTATGTTTTTCAATTATCATCAGCCTTATTATGGTGATTTATCACATCTGTTTCCCCAAAAGCTTTTACATCTCTATCTAGTGCTGTATTAGTTTGGTTTATTAAAGTTATGTTTTTAGGCTACATGCAGTTCCACATATTTTTCACAAGCTTTTAAGATCATTCATAAGCTCATTTTCAGGCAAGGGGCATTGTTATAGCCTTTGATACATAAATACAATGTGGAATTAACTTTTTGAGCAATTTTGATACAAGTAATTCTTCTTTTTCATATCCCTAAAATTTACTTTACTCTGGCAGACTGAAGAGTTGGAGCTTCTGCAAATTGTACTCGCACAGTCACAGATAACAGTGACTTTTATAAAAATGAAACATGCAAAAATATTTCCACATATACTTCATTGTAAAACAGTGATTTTTATGACTTGTGAATATTTGCAGAAGACTTGACACTTTAGAAAGATCATGTATGAATGAATTGTTTATTTGCTTTTACTTCTAATACTGGTATAAATTATATGTAATTATTCACATTTATACTTCTTTTACTAATTTTTTTATTTATCTTTTGGCCAGGCTTTAGGTTCTCGAAACCAACTGAAGTCTGTTACCAAGCAACGAGAATCTCAGCAGCAGCAATTACAAGTACTCATAATGGAGAAAAAGATACAATTAGAAAGGTAACTATTAGTCTCAATTTCAGTGATATACCTGTTTAGTTGTTAACTATTAACTTTTACTTAACTTACTATAAATCTGTATTCACAAATTTGTGACTTTAAATCAGGAAACGTGTGTGTTACAAAGAAAATAATTGCTTGTAACTTCTACTAAACAAAAATTGTATACTGTTTTTATGAAGCTCAAAATATTTATGAAAAGTAAGTATATTTGGTTTGATAGTACCGTATCATATGTGTGAAATACTAACTGCCCACAAAATGAGCTAATCGAATTACAATATAATCATGATATTAAATTTATAACTAAATGAAACAAAACTTAATGAATATTTGGTATTTATTCAAGCACTATGTAACAACTGTTTTGCTTGCATTTGATACTTTTTAGTTTTTCTAATAACATTACACAGCCTAATAAATTTTGAGTATAGAATTCAATTGTTAAATTAAACAATACTGTATTAGTGCATTATACTAAATTTTATAATTTTAGATTGAGCTTTATTGAATGTCCACCCACACTCTAGTTTTATTAAACTATAACAAAGATTCAACACATTTAAAGTAGTAATAGATACTTCCAAGTAAGACTAAAAGACAAATGGTCACACATTGTGTCTGTAGTTGTTTTGCATTATTTTTCCATTAAGTTACAGATGATCTGGTTTAATTAAAAATCAAACTGTTACATGAGGCATGATTTTAGGAAAGTGACAAACATTAGTGACAAAAATAGGAAAAACAATATATTGAAGGATGTAAATCTGGATTTACATATTCAGAAAAAGTGGCAAATGACATCACACTATGAAGCTGTGTAGAATACAATGTGCTTGTCAGTTTTAGTGTTTGATTCTTCATCTATATTTATATGTATGTATGTGCATGTCAGTAAGGCTATTACCAATCAAGTGGACTTGAGAATGAGGTAACAAATAAATAGTTAAACATTATATGATGGGAAAAATATCAAGTTCATTAGGTAGTTATATATGAAGCAAGAGTAACTGAGTGGCTAACACTTAGGGTAGGACAAAGTAATGAGGTAACAAGTAATTTAATGAGTAACAAACTTAAGTGATGTTGTTCATCTTGGTGAAACGTTCAGAGTTGATTTGGATAGAATAAATGTAAAGTAGATGAATATTTACAATGGATTCTATTTGAAGTTTTAATTGTGGGCATCTCTGTCAGAATTTGTAATGACAAAAACATTGGAATTGATTAAATATAAAAATTCATTTACTATAAATGTTTTAAGTTGTATTCACATATTGTAAAGATAATAAAATATAGTGAAAGGACCAAAATACTTAAACGAAGATACTAAGCTGTTTGGATGTATCAAATCTAGATGAAATTATGTAGGAATTAACATTTCAGTTATACAGCATCGTGATGAGTAGTTAATGGAAAAGAACAGGTTTTAGCAAAAGTAAGATGTGAATATTATAATTTTCTTTGCAGGAATAAATGTTAAAGTGTGTTTTTACAGTTAAAATTGTGTTGGAAATTGGAATTAAAGATAAGACCTATGGTAACAATACAAGGTTAAAATTGTTGCTTTATAGTTCAATTTTCATTGTAGGAAACTTGAGTAATAGACTAGGGTTATTGTTGTCCCCTTCCTATCTATGTGTTTTACAAAGTTCATTAACCATGTGTGAGTGATAAATTTTTAGGGCCTGTTTGAGCATCCTGAAGGTACAGAAATATACAGAAGATGACTAACAAGTAGCATAATACAAGATCTTGTTTGTATTTGCATCATGTAGAATGACTGACATGTTACCTTGGATGTGTGTGGATGTTTTGTCTTGATGGAGTCATTTTTTATTGGAATCTATTCTGTACAGGGATGATAATTCCTTATAGAATAGATTCAGAATATTAGTCTGATAGTATGCAGAGTTTAACTTAGCAGTTTTCTTAAATTTGTTAGTGTTTAACTTGTCATTTTAGCTGTAACTTGCAGTGACCATAAATCTTTTAAAAAGCATTTGCAACATGCTTTTTATGAATTTGGAAGTGTTGTATCATTGGAAAAATGCCAATAAATATTATCAGGAATTATTATAGGCACATAAGAAGACACAAGTTCTTTCAGTGTCATATCATACTTTCTTTTGTAACATACCAGATGCTTCTATCACAGCTTTCAAAGTTCATTTCCTGTTAAGCTGTTTGTTTTGGGAGACACATTTTGAGAATGTAGCTCTTGTGCTACTTTAGATCTAAATTCGTATGAATTATATTTGTAACGAGTATAATAAAATTGTATTAAATTTTATAAAGACAAGTAGGGATTGATACATA